TTTCCCTACTCCTGACTTCCACCCTCCCTCCAGGGACTTCTATTGATAGAACCCACCAGAAAGCCCACAGGCAAAGGAGATATTAGTTTGCAGAGCCCCAGCCCAGTATTACAAACCTAACCTGGAGTGTGGAAATGTCAATATGGAGTAGAGAGAGGAAGTTTAATAAACAGCATTGGGAGTAATTAGAGTCTTTTTTTTTTTTAATTTATTTGAGAGAGAGAGAGAGAGAGAGAGAGAGAGAGAGAGAGAGAGAAAGCATGAGCCAGGGGGAAGGGCAGAGGGAGAGGAGAAGCAGACTCTTTGCTGAACAGGGAGCCCAATGCAGGGCTCTATCCCAGGACCCTGGGATCACAACCTGAGCCAATGGCAGACATTGAACCAACTGAGCTACCCAGGCACCCCTAGCAATGGTCAGCTAATCATCATCCAGCTTAAAAAACTCAACATGATCAAGGCTTTAAATTTTTAAGAAATTAATATTCTTCTGTTGCGTTTGTCTGTGGTTACACATACACCTGAGTATGCTATGTCACTATGTTTATCATTTAGTCGTCTGGTCTGGGACTTATTGTTCTGGGGGTTTGGGTTTCAACAATTAAAAAAAAAATAGATAGGTCCCTGCCCACCCTCATGGAACTTTGATTCTAGTGAAGGGAAAACAGAAAATCAAAACAAACAAACAACCCATAATGTGTCAAATGGTGAGTAGAATGAAGAAAATAAAGCAAGTTAAGGGTGATAGGAATTGGGGGCAGGGGAGCTCTTTATTTTTTAATTTTTATTTATTTATTCATGAGAGACAGAGAGAGAGAGAGAGGCAGAGACACAGGCAGAGGGAGAAGCAGGCTCCATGCAGGGAGCCCAACGTGGGACTCGATCCCGAGACCCCAGGATCCTGCGCTGAAGGCAGCGCTAAACCGCTGAGCCACCCGGGCTGCCCAAGGGGAGCTCTTTAAATGGGGTGGTGATAGAAGACTTAAATGACAGAGTGAACTTTGAGCAAAGATCCAAAAGAAATATGAGGGGAAAATCAGCATGAATATATAGTGGGGATCTTTTCAATAGAAATTAGTTGCATTTGATAAATACGAGATCAGTGAAGATTTTGCAACTAGGTGGACTTTTTTGTGGGTCTGCAGTTTGATTTTAAGTATTTGCATAGCTCTGCTCTAGAAGACTGTGATTCTAGTAGAGTGACATCAACTTGTTATCAAATATATACCAAGTTCAAACATTCCACAAAGCATTGCTCATCTCTTCCACTTAGGGAAGAGCTATACCTCTTCACGCAGCAGGTTATAAAAAATCTGCTGATGGTAAGGGGAATGAGCTGAGTACATAATGGCCCACCTTCACTATAAAATACTTTCTTTGTTTCAGAGTCAGCTATGAAATTCTAATAATAGTCTCAAACCTTTAATTTGTATTATTTGAGTAAATGTAAAATGCCCAGCACTGTACATAATTACTTCTTTGTTAAGATGTCAACCTTTGTTTTTTAGTTAAGAGTTAATGAACCTCGATAATTGGCCAACAGTCTTTGAGGCTGAAAGTGGGATGGACACCATCAGTACTCTTAACCCAAAACAATGAAGTCATTGTTGGCAGTAGGATCATGTTGCCTTTTGTTCAGATAATTTTCTTCTTCGAAAATACATGCATACTTTGGATTTAATGGTGCCAGAAATATTAATAAGTTAGCTATAATTATTTCTGAACCAGTCTGTCACTCAAACAATAAAGGTGAACTTATCTGTAAAGTTAGACGACTAAAATGGTATAAAGCACAGTAACACTCCCATGATAAATTTTTTTTGTTTTTGTTTTACATTCAACAATATTTCTGGAGGAAATATCAAAAGAAAATGAACTGTATCATATACAATCTCATTCTGCAGTTAGTACTAATTTCCAACAGGAAGGCTTGGGGTGAGTATGTCTTCATTTGAGAACAGTGTAATTTAAGACTGGAAGCTTAGGAAGTAAAAATTTGAGTAACCTCAGTAAATTTGTTTCTGACTTTAAAAGGAATCTTGAGAGGTCAGTGGTGCCCATCGGAAGGCAAGGACTTGGGTCTGGGGATCCCTGGGTGGCGCAGCGGTTTGGCGCCTGCCTTTGGCCCAGGGCGCGATCCTGGAGACCCGGGATCGAATCCCACGTCGGGCTCCCCGGTGCATGGAGCCTGCTTCTCCCTCTGCCTGTGTCTCTGCCTCTCTCTCTCTCTCTCTCTCTCTCTCTCTCTGTGACTATCATGAATAAATAAAAATTTATAAAAAAAAAAAAAAAGAACTTGGGTCTGGCAGGAAAACCACCACATGTGGCTTGTAGGATTTTCCATTAACCTCTGTGCCTAGGTTCCTCTCCTCATCAGGTAGGGATAATAGTAATTGCTACCTTCCATGAGAAGTAAGCCTGTGCTTTGACATCTCTGGCCAAAGATTCTATATCAACACAAATGATTAGTTAATATTAGACACAATGCGTCATACACACAAAATACTAGCATAGTGCTCTTTTAATGCTTATAGGATATCTATAGATACTGCTCTTCCAGGCTCTCTCTTCACTTTAGGTCAGAGAAGAATATAATCATAGCATGTCACTAATCCAATTTCTCAAAATATGGAGAAAATATAGTTTTTAAAGCTCCACATCATCCTTCTGAGAAGCAGTAAACCTGCTAATCCCTCACGGTCTCTGTACGCAATCGCACAATGGCCCCCCATACTAAGCCTTTGGCACCTTTTCAAATGTTGGCTAAATTACTTTCTCTGGAAACTGGAACCGTCAGGGGGAAGGCCAGGGGAATGGAATTGGCTGGCGATATTAAGATTTTTGGTTGTTTAACATTTAACTGGCTCTCAACAACGTGTTGAAGTGCTATCTAAACAGATAATTAGCTAGTCGCTGCACAGTGGGCTCTGTCTAAATTTAGCAGTGAAATTAGGTTTAGACAATGAGAAAATAAGGAAAAGAAATTTTCTCCAGGGAATCGATGGTGTCAGCACAGCTGAGGAATGTCACAATAGCTACATTTCGTCAATTATGATCATCATCAGGGGGATCTCCGGGAGAGACGCGGGACAGGGTGTGTTCTTAGAGGGCGGCCTGAGGGTAGGCGACGGCAAGGGGCGGCTGCAGGAGGCAGGCTGCGAGGGGGGGCGCCGGGGCCGGGCCGGCAGGGGGAGGGAGGGGGAGGGAGGAAGAGGGGGGGGAGAGAGAGAGGGAGAGGGAGAAAGGGGTGTGGAGGGGAGGAAGAGGCACTAAACGATCGCTGGGAGACAGGATGGGAGGCGGAAGTTGAGAGGGAAGAGCGCGGCGGGCAGGGGCAGGGGCGCGCGGCCGCGGGGCAGTGCAGGCGGCCTTGTAACCCCGTGGGGGGACGGGGGGACGCGGGGCCCGAGTGATGCAAGGGGCGTGACCTCGGCGGCAGGCGAGCATTACTTGGGCTGCGACGACAGGCGCCCAGAACCTCGCTCGCCTTTCCCCCTCACTGGAGCTCGTTCACGGCTACCGGGTGGGGACACGGGGACCCACATAAAACTCCCGGCGTCCCGGCCGAGGCCGTGCGCGCCCCTTCCGCCCCCGGGACGGCGCCGAGTGCCCAGCGCCCCTGCAGCTCCGCGGGCGGCGGCGGCGGCGTCAAGGTCGGGCGCGGGGCTGGGCGCGGGGCTGGGCGCGGGGCTGGGCGCGGGGCTGGGCGCGGGGCTTGGGGGGGACGCTCGGGCTGCTCCCGGACCTCCCCACGGGCCGACGCCGCACACTCCGCGAGGTCGCCGCCCCGCGACCGGCTCCGGGGCAACAGGCAGGGAGGAGTGACAGCGAAATCACTCGTGCGAACGTGCAAAGGGACCAAACCGGAGCAAACAGCAGCGCCGCACTCGACGCGCTCCGGGGGGCGGGGGGGCAACCCGTGGTGGCCTCCTGGGGCCAGTCCCCGCGGGGACGCAGCCCTCCCGGGGCCCCGCTTCTCGCCCGGCCCCGCCGACCCCCCCAGCAGGCCGCCCTCCCGGGACGGAGGAGCGAGAAAGGCCGCCTGGGCCAGGAGCCTCGGCGGGCTGCGGGGAGCGCGGCCGCGAGCCGGGGGGGGAGGGGGGTCGGAGGGCGCCGCCGTCCCGGGAAGCAGGAAGGAGCCAAGTGTGTGCTCCAGCCCCTGCGCCCGGCGGCGAGGGGAGGCGCCTCGCGCCGCGGGCGACGTTCAGCCTCCGAGGCAGGGACCCCGCGCGCGGGCGGCGGGAGGGCGACCCCATCCCGCCCTCCCCCGCGGAGGGAGAGCCCCGCCGTCCCGCCGCCCCGCCGCCCTCCGCCTCCGAGTGCGCCGCGGCCGCGGTGGACCCGCGAGGGGCGGAGTGGGCGAGACCATCGGGAAGCCTGGGAAGGGGGGGACGGGGCGGGGCCCAGGCAGGAGCGGGGGGCGGGGCCTACTAACCTCGTCCGGATTTTCCAGTCCGCCCGAAAGCCCTGCTTAGGGAGAGAGAGACCCGTTATCAAAGTGGAGAGCTGAGATTTTCTTTTTTTTTTTTTTTTTCCTGGCAGGGGGAGGAGCGCGTGTGGGAGGGCGGGGCGGGGGGGGACGCGGCTGGCAGTCGGCGGCCAGACGGGAGCCCGAGTCGCGCGGGGCGGGGGAGCGCCGGCGCCGGCTGCGAGGGTCGGCTTCCTCTCCCCCTCCCGCGCGGGCGGGGTGGTGCGTTCCGAGTTCCCAGGAGTTGGAGGCGGGCGGGCGCCTGGGGGAGGGGAGGGAGGGGAGTGGCGGCGGCGGCGGCGGGCGGCTCCTGCCTCAGCCTCGGCAGTGGCGTCGGCGACGGCGACGGCGACGGCGGCGGCGGAGTCGGGGCGGCCGTGAGCGCTCGGCTGGTGTCCGCCGGCGGCGACGGCCCGAGAGCTGGGAGTTGGGGACGCGCGCGCCGCAGCCGCCGCAGCCGCCGCCGCCGCCGCCGCCCAGAGCCGAAGGCGCCGGGGGAGCCGGGGGAGCCGGGGGAGCCGGGGGGGCGGGGGGGATGGCGCGGACCCCGGGGCCGGCCCCGCTGTGTCCCGCGGGCGGCAAAGCACAACTTTCCTCCGCTTCCCCCCCCGGGGCCGGGCTCCCGCTGCCGCCCCCGACGCCGCCGCCGCCGCCGCCGCTGCTGCTGCTGCTCTTCCCGCTGCTGCTCTTCTCCCGGCTCTGCGGTAGGTGGACCTGGGCGGCCCCGGGGCGGCGGGGCGGGTGTGCTCGGCGGTTGGCTGCGCGAGCGGGAGCCGCGGACTCGGGCTGCAAACTTTTCGGCGCGCCCCGGGGCGAGGCCGGGGAAGGGCCGGGGCGGGCGGGCGGGCGCTGCGCCGCCGCTCCCCTCCCCCTCCGCCTCCCCCTCCGCCTCCGCCTCCCCCGGGCGCGGGGGGCGCGGGGGGCGCCCCGGGCTGCTCCGGGGACCGTTACCTCCTCGCTCCCGGCGGGGGGAGGCCGCGAGCGCGGGCTGCGGGGCTGCGCCTTTGCTGCTCCCTTTCTTCCCCCGGTGAAACTTGAGCCCTGAGCCCGGGTACCTTTAGGGACCGGAGCCCGACGGGAGGAAGCCTGCGGCTCCCGCCCCCCCCGCCCCCCACGGGGAGAAGGTACCGCGTTCGGCCCCTGCAGCATCCCCTGCGGCCGGTGCCGTCCTGGCAGCCCCCCGGCTCGCTTTGCACTGAGCCCGTCGCTGCCCTCCAGTCCGTGGGACGCCTGCCCCTCACGCTGGCCGTGCTTTTTTTTTTTTTTTTTAATTAAAAAAATCATTTTATTTTTTTTTTTTTAAAGCGAACCTTGTTTGTCCTCCAGGACTTTGATTTAGGTGTCACCTGCCTGGTGGCATCCTCTGCGCCCCGGCTGTTTGATCCAAACCGACCCCACGCCTCCTCCCGGCCTCTTTTCTTCTTGCCTCATCTTCCGTTGCAGCTTTCCTGTCGCATCTGGGAGTTAGTCTCTCTGTAAATTCCGTTCGTAGGTGTTGTCGGAGATTACAAGTGCACTTGTTAAGGATCGTGCTAAAAAAAAAAAAAAAAAAAAAAAAAAAGCCCCCAATCTGGCCTCTCACGCACGGGAGCCGGACGTAAGTGATCATTAGTGGAAGGCGGTGATGGGGGAAGGAGGCCGCGGGTCCCTGGGGGTGAGCGCTGTGGTTTGGTCCACCGGACCCGCTGCAGGAAGTTATTCATTCTAAGACTCTTAGGTGGCGGAGGAAGGTGGAGAAGCAAAAAACTTAACGCTTGCGTAGGGATTGGGTCTACCCAAGACGTTTCGATCGGCACAGGAGGCTGCTGCTGTCGGGTCGGTGTTTAGTGGAACCGTAGACGCAAGCCAAGTTTTGACTATTTGTTAGAGGGCGACGTGTGTGCAGATTTCTGGGGTGGTGTGATTTGGAAGAAAGAGCGTCCTGTTCCGGGACGTGTGTCGGGGTAGTTGGTCGTGAGGGAGGCAGAGTTTTCAGGAGGTTGAGTGCCCCTTACGGGCCGGGAAAGTCCTCTACCGATTCCCCGCGCGTTTCAGGCAGTGTAATGGCAGTTTTCTGATTCGCAGAGGATAGTGTGATGAATGGCGTGTTGTCTGATCTACATGGTTTCTTTAGCTACCCACTCCCCGGCTGTTTGGTTCCAGGACACAATTCTTGATGCTGTTACCTCCTTTTATTTCTAATATATATATTTATATATATATATATATATATATTTATTTATTCACGAGAGAGAGAGAGACCCAGGCAGCGGGAGAAGCAGGCTCCACGCAGGGAGCCCGACGTGGGACTCGATCCCGGGTCTCCAGGATCACGCCCGGGGCTGAAGGCAGGTGCTAAACCGCTGAGCCCCCGGGCTGCCCAGTGCTGTTACTTTAAACGGATGCAAGATTTAAGTTGAATTTGTGTGCCGTTCTTTTCCATTAGGGAGGATTGTGGATTACAGTTGGGTAAAGTTGGAGGGGGGTGTTAACAGTTTACTAGCCTGACTTAAGATCGTGTTAAGGACCGAGTGAATATTATTTGTATCTCTAATAAAAGCTTCTCTCTCTGATCAAAGCCTTCTAGAAGGCTGAATGAAACTAGGTAATATGGGCAGATAATCAGGCATATAGAATTTGAGTAGTTTCATAGTGCTTGTACAGATGAAGGCTTGACTACTTTGAAGGAACATGGATTTCATGTGGAAGAAGAATCTTTTTTAACGTCTTTGATAATATCCCCTTAGAGGGGCTTGATATTTTTATTTGAAGACTTAAAAATTCAAGTGATATGGTCTAATGGGCTGTGATTTAGAGCAGGTGGGAATTGAAGTTTCTAGAGTCAATTCTGCTTGTGGTCGTAGAGACAGGCACTAGCTTTGTGTTCCTGTGTGCACTGTTCTTCTAAAGAGCTTCCTTTTCTGGCTTATAGTGTTGATAACACCCTAATTTGTGAGCCCTTATGACAAGTTTTTTTTTTTTTCCATCAACCTTCCTCTATTTTAGAATTCAGTCTTTGAGTAGGGCACAGTTGCCCTGACTATGGATGCTTAATAAGTATGGAGGTAGAATTTTGATTTTCTTCATGTAACTTGTTGTTGATTTGACATTCGTAGTACTGATAAGGTTTTGTGTGTACTATTGCTTGAATAGTTCAGAGTTGGAAAGATTTTTAGGCTTTAAAGAGATGATTATTTGAGGATTTGTTAATCAGAATGGTTTACTTGTTCAACACATACAGATTTTTTTTTTCATTTTGCTGCTATTTTTTGATATGTTGCTTATGTGAATTTAGCACGACCTTAACTATGCTCAACATCTGCAATATTATCTATTAGTGCAAGGTAATGTTTACTTGCTAAAAAAAAAAAAAACTCTTGGAACTGGTAGACTTGATATTCTGAAAGCTGTAAAAAATTACATCATTTTTGTTGTTTTGAGAGTGTACACTGTCTTAATTGAAGAACTGAAGTTTTAAAAGGTTTACAAACTGTAGATTGTGGGGTTTTTTTTGTTTGTTTGTTTTTTTTTTTTTTTTACTTATGATAGTCACAGAGAGAGAGAGAGAGGCAGAGACACAGGCGGAGGGAGAAGCAGGCTCCATGCACCGGGGAGCCCGACGTGGGATTCGATCCCGGGTCTCCAGGATCGCGCCCTGGGCCAAAGGCAGGCGCCAAACCGCTGTGCCACCCAGGGATCCCCTGTAGGTTGTTTTTTAAGCCTAAGAAATTCCTAGGTATAAAGGTCAAAGGGACTAGATTTACATTACCATGTGACTTAATAAATCTTATTTATTTAAAGCTTGTTACTTGGGATTTCTCTTTCTTTCTTTCTCTTTCTTTCTTTCTTTCCTTGAAATAGAGTTAACACACAATGTTACATTAGTTTCAGGCAGATTTCTTTATGATGGCAATAATTCATAGGTGATGAGTTTTATCTCACTTTCCTTCCAACATTTTTCTTGAAAGAGAGAATATTAGCAGGAATACGGTATCAGTAAAGGAGAAGGCAAAGACTTTTTGGCCTTTGTCAGTTCCTACTTGAATCTAGGATTCTCTGATTTTCCATTTTCATCAAGGTTTTACCTGAAGATGTTAAAAGATGATAAAAAAGATCTGATGTTATATTGAATCTTTAACAGCGCTTACAGTACTTTCTGTATTCCTGGCACTTGATAGGCACTTGGGGACATAAGCACTGGTAAAGCAGAGTCCTGGCTTCAAGGAGCTTACAGCACTGTGATGCTAGACATGAAGGAAATAGTTGCTCATAGGATAGTCTAGTGTTTGTGATAGAGATCTGCATGAGGTACTGTGGGGTTGTTCAGAAGAGGGATACCTAACTCATTAGTTAAAGATCTATGAATGTGAACTGAGAAAAATTACTTTTTAAAAAATCAGTTGAGGGGTGCCTGGGCGGCTCAATTGGTTGAGCATCCAACTCTTGATTCCCTCGGGTCTTGGTTTCAAGGTGTGAGGATCAAGCCCCATTGGGTTCTTCTCCCACTCTCACTCCCTCTGCCCCCGCCTCTCAAATAAATAAATGCATCTTTAAAAAAAATTTAAAAAGTTGATTCAGATCTTACTGAGGTTAGACATTTTGGTAGATAGTACAAGTTCACTGTCTCTTTCTGCTCTTTATGGTTTAGATACTAAATAGTTTGATTTTGAAAAAAGGCTGCCACTTACTAGGTTTTTGAATCCTTGGCAAGTTATTTAACCTCAGTAAACTTAAGGGTTTTCAACATAAACAAACAAAAAGATATCACCTTGCCCATAGAGTTGTTGAGAGGATTAAATCAAAGAATAAAATAAAACACTTAGGGTACATGCAGTATAGTAAACTTTCAAATGTTAGCATTTTTTAGATTGCACCTAATAAACTAACCTGCCTTGTATTTGTCATTCTTAAATTCTGCCCTGATGTCTGGAATAATTGGGTTTTCAAGGTAATTGATTTACTCTATTTGCCTTCATATCTTTATTTTGAGTGTATAATACAGTCAGTGTTCCTTAAATATTTGTTAAATTTACTTCATATAAATATTCAGAAGACCAATTTTCAGAATGTTGAGATACAGTGAAATTAACTTGCGTATTTGTTTGGAACCACGTTGAATCTTCCCTTGATGATGTAGAATGCATTTAATGATTTGGCAGTTCCATAAGGTTGCTTGGAATGTTAGTGTTTATATTGAAAATGCACAGTTGGGAGGAAAGGTCATAATTAAGTCTATTTTATCAAGTCACTGATAATATCAGATTGGGGCCTATAATACATACTACCCATATAAATCTTTCTGCATCATGAACAGATATAATTGGAAAGTGAATCAAATTTAGAAGCAAGCAAAAAAGACCCACATCTTCCATTCTTGCATTTAGCTACAGCATTAGAAATTGGAATTGAAAAAGCTGGGCAGTTATATATTTCTGTGTGCATATGTGTGTTTACCATCTTAACTTCTTCATTTCACTTATGCTTATATATATTTATATATATATTTAATTTAGTGATTGAGCAACTCTGATGTACGTGTTACATCAGTATAGTTAAGAAGTAAAACTTATGGCTTACTGCCTATTATTTGAAAATTGCTGAAAAGAAGCTGGATGGGATATCTTTGTTAAAAAATGGAGTATTTTATAATTTGCCCTTTTAAAATTAAAGAGTAACATTTTTATAGCATATTCTATAATGTATTGAGGTGCTTATAGCAATTCAT